TGAGAGACAGAGAGAGACAGCAGCAAGGGAGGAGCAGAGAGAGAGAGAGGGAGACACAGAATCTGAAGCAGGCTCCAGGCTCTGAGCTGTCAGCACAGAGTCCCACATGGGGCTTGAACTCACAAACCATGAGATCATGATCTGAGGTGAAATCAGACACTTAACCGACTAAGCCACCCAGACGCCCCACTTTATATAACATTTTTAAAGAAGCTGAGGGAGGAAAGAAGAGAAAGTATGTACTATAACATTTGTTACAATAACTTTTGTATTTACCTTTTTGGCTCATTCATTTCTTTCTTTTGATTTCAATTACCACGTGATGTTAATTCCTTACTTACTCCATTGCAGCTTAGTTCCACTTGCTTCCTTCATGCTCATATTGTCAAATATCTTACATTTGTGTCTTTTCTATTATATACATATTGTTTTGTCCGATTGTTTTAAATCAGTTAAGAGAAGCAGACGTACGCAATCACACAGTTTTTACCAACACCCACATAGTTTCCTTTACTGGAGCCCTTTGATGTCCCTGCTCAGATTTCCTCCTTCATTTTTATCTTTTAGCCCAGCAACATATAGGGCTGCCTCTGGTTCTGCCTGAGTCCCTTACTGGTCAAAAGTTGGGCTTTAGCTCCCTTCAGCAGTTAGATTTCCACCCCGTACTGTTGGATGTGCGTGTGTAGCTTGTAAGTGGCTATCACACCTCAGGGAATTTACATTTTTTGGCTCCATGTTCAGCCAGGGACTAGTAACATGGAATTCCTCTCTGATCACTCCTGAGAGAGCTCAGGCTTGGACATGCACAGTCTTCTCGGTTCCCAGGAATAAGCGTGTTGCAAGCCTGCCTTCGTAGGAGTAGCCCCTTAGCTGGAGTAGCTCATTGTTTAGTCGGTGACTGCTCAGAGGTTATGTTGGAGCCCCTTGTGCCAGTGAGGCTGCTGCCCTGTGATGATGGGGCTGTGGGTGGCTGCAGGATGCTTCGAAGTCTGCCCATGTCCTGCTCTGAGGGGTGCAGCCTAGAGCACCCCCAGGACTTACTGCGATGCCAGGAGTTCTCTTCTTGGCTCTTTCCCTGGTTCTATTAAACTTCTGACTGCGCTGTTTTCCGTGGAGCATGGCGCTACCAGCCTCCAAGATATCCACTGGTTTTGCCAGCATCTCTAGGCATGGCTCTCCCCAGACCCTGTTCCAAATAACATCGGTCTTCTTGGCAGAGCTGTGGGGTCTTCATCCTTATGGCCTGCCTCTTCTCCAGACAAGCCCCTGCGACTCGGCACTGAGGGTGGGGAGACATTTTTTTCTGACAATGACATCCCTGATCTACAAGTGGGCACTGAGGAAGGAGGACGCGGTAGCCTCTGGTCTTTCTGGCTTGCCTCTCCTGGGAGGGAGGAGGGGCAGGGACCACTAAGGCCTCAGGATCCTTTTCTGCAACGCCTGTGGTAAAGCTTTGCCTGCAAGCAGGAGACGGCCCTGGTCCTCTCAGCCCCTCTTGCTTGGGGCAGAGCTTCTGAAACAGAAAGCTGGGGTGGATGAGCCAGATGAGCAACCGGTCTCTCCCAGGGAGAACCTCCAGCCCCCCATGGGGAGTTGAGGAGAGAGAGCATCTCCATCTTCCTGGCCACATCTGCCCAAAGTACAGGGCCCAGGGTCCCGCTTCTGGAACATGGAGCTGTGAGGGAGAGAGGGGCGTTAGGAAGGGCATGGCTCAAATGTCACAGACCCTGGCTGATTTCATATTTAGTAGATTTCTTGAATATTTCTCCATTTGCTCTATATCCTTAGGACGATTTCTAGGGATTTTAAATGATTGTGGGTTTGTGTTGGTTTTGTTGTTGTTGTTGTTGTTGTTGTTTATTTTTATTTTTTTGAGTAATTTTCTCCATTTTGTTTTGCTGGGGAGAATTTACCCCGAGCTCCTTACTTTGTCATTCTGGAAGTCCTGCTCATCCACCATCTTGGCATAATATCAGGCGTACTATCAGGAGTAGGAAAGAAAAGAGTGAACGTATGGTTGGTCTGCCAGGTATCAATTATGTGTACCCTCAACACACATGGGGCATGTGGTCTGTACCCAGCTAAATTTCATGCCATGATTCCTTGAGTACAGACCATGAAATAAATCCAAGAGAGGAGTTCTGTTCTACGGATCCCAGATCGGTTACGGAGATTCCGCTTTTGTTTCTGATGAATGAAAATAGGAGTTCCTTTTTCCGTCTGGCTTCCAAAAAATATTCACAGAGAAAAAGTTTTATATCTATGAGGGTCTTCTAAAAAAACTAATCACGGTTTTCGCAAATCAAATCAACTTCCCCATTCAAATTTCACTTGTGTTCCTATGAAAAGTCTACTGCACTGAAACATTCCAGATGCAGCAAAATTTAAATTTCAAATGGATAAAATACCAGTTTTCTGGCAATATAATAATCCTTCTATTATCTTCCAATAAATTTTTCTGGTGGAAAATTTAAAACTGGGAAGTGTCTTTTAAAAGCTTTGGGATCTTGAGGTGCCTGGGTAGCTCAGTCGGTTGAGCATCCAAGGTCAACTCCGGTCATGATCTCACAGTTTGTGGGTTCAAGCCCCTCATCGGGCTCTGTGTTAACAGCTCAGAGCCTGGAGCCTGCTTCAAACTCTGTGTCTCCCTCTCTCTCTGCCCTTCCCCCACTCACGCTCTCTCTCTCTCTCTTTTAATAAAATAAAATAAAATAAAATAAAATCTTAAAAAAAAAAAAAAGCTTTGGGGTCTTCCAGACTCACAGGGAAATTTCCTGGTCCCTCCATTACATTACCCAGACATTCACATACTATATTCATACTTTTATTTTTGCCATATATTGAACACTTCTTGTCTGTATACCACCTGCATTTACTCACTTAATAATTTTCTAATATGTTTTAAAGGATTTCTTTCTAAATACATTTATTTTTAAAAGCAAACATTTTATCACTGGCGCAAATACCCAAGTAGTAAATGGGAGAAAACCAAAAATTATTAAACATTCCATGTAGGTATTGTTAAAGACTCAGGCTCGAGGCCCGCCCTCTCAGTGGGAAAGGGAACTGAACCAGTTAAGGGAATAAGCTTATTGTACTCGAATAGTGTTCACCAGCGCTGGGCACTGTCCTGAGCCCTTTCCATGTAGAATCTCATTTAGCATTCCTGACAACTGTATGAGGGAGGACCTTTCCCCCCCACTTTCCACATGAGGAAACTGAGGCACCAGAAGTCTAGGCAGCAGAACCAGGTCTCTGGAGTGTGCGCTCTTCTTCACCCTGCTCTCCGCCCCTCCCCCCCAACATAAAAGACACCAAAGAAGCGCCCACACCTGCCTCGGGTAGCACTGGCGGGCACGCCCCGCACCCCCGGAACCCCAGAACCCCGGTCCCCAGGTCATCTGCAGACGACTCCCAAAGGTCTCCTTCCACACTCATACACGTGTAAGAAACGCCGCACGGAGGTCCATTCCCCTCTTGGCCACTCACAAGTTACAGCAAATCGGAGAGCTTCTCGAAGGCCTGCGGCTAGCAGTGTGCTGACTTATTTAATGCGCATTTCTCACACGGATTGAAGCTCAGAACGCCTTTACAGAGGAGCGCCTATCAGCATCTCAGGAGACACAAACGTTTCACGGGGCCGCTTCAGAAACTCTGAATGAATCCGAGTTAGAACGCAGTCATTTGGGGCGCCTGGGTGGCTTAGTCGGTTAAGCATCCGACTTCGGCTCAGGTCATGATCTCACGGTTCGTGGGTTCGAGCCCCACGTCGGGCTCTGTGCTGACAGCTAGCTCAGAGCCTGGAGCCTGTCTTCGGATTCTGTGCCTCCCTCTCTCTCTGACCCTCCCCTGCTCACGCTGTCTCTCTCTCTCTCTCTCAAAAATAAATAAAACGTTTAAAAAAAAAAAAAAAGAACGCAGTCATTTCATTCAAAGATATTTCTCGAATATACACATGAAAAAGACGCGTCTTCCCTGGAGCTGAAATATTCGAATTCACCTGCTGCCAGGTAAATTTTCCTACGCCTTTGAACCCACGTAACTTCAAGGGGTCATCTGCAGAATAAAGCCTGTTCCAGCAGCTCCGCGTCCCCTCCCTCCTCGGTGCAAGAGAGTCAAGTTCTAGGAGGGGAGGTCCTTCCTCGACAGGAGAAACCCTGGGCTTTTGAATTCCACACCTGAGCAGCCGCCGCTTAAAGAGCACCATGTGTCCAAAGCAAACCTGCAATCGACTTCAAAACGCTCACAAACAGCCTTGATAGGCTACCAGCTGGGTGATAAGTCACCCACTGTAGCTGTTGCGACTGAGATCTGCTCATCTGTGACCTGCTCAGCAAGTTGAAAGAGCTCCAAGTTTCTGGGTTACAAAAATAAACTAGGCTCCAAATGTGGACTCCTGTGCCTTGTATGCTCTTCAACAGGAGAGCGAGCACTAAGGAGGACTCCACGTGTCTGGACACACTGCCAGGGCAGGCCTGTCTGCAGGGAGCACACAGCCTGTTTAGCCATCCTTTACAAATTCTGGGGCGCCTGGGTGGCTCAGTCGGTTAAGCTTCCAACCTCGGCTCAGGTCATGATCTCACAGTTTGTGGGTTGGAGCCCCGCGTCCGGCTCTGTGCTGACAGCTCAGAGTCTGGAGCCTGCTTCGGATTCCGTGTTTCCCTCTGTCTCTGCAACTTCCCTGCTCATGCTCTGTCTCTCTCTCTCTCTCTCAAAAATAAACACACATTAAAAAAGAAAAAAAGAAAATTCTGATGGCCACACCACGGTTTCAGCTCTTCCGCAGGCAGAGGCACGTTCGGATTGGGATCCCTAGAGGCGCCACCTGCTTTCTCAGGAAGCACCGGGTCAAGGGGCCTTTCTGCCCAGGGCCTCAGGGTGGTTTTTTCTGTGTTCGGGTCCTCCCTGGAGGGTGTTGCTTCTGCAAGTAGTATCCACATTCTTTTTTTTCCTTATCTTCTCAACTGTCTTTTTTTTTTTTTTTTTAATGGGGGGAACAGAGCCTTGGACCCAACATCTGCAGATCCTGTGAATACAGACCCCTCTTGGCACCCGGGGCAATATTTACAAGGTGGTGACAAGGACTTCTGCTAAGAACCTTGAAGGAAAAGTTCTGGGAAAGGTGACTTGCCAACTGTGTCATGGATTCAGAAGTTTGAGGTAAGGGTATCGCGGATCACTGGAAAGGGGTCTTGATGGAAGTGAGAGCTGATATTTAAGAACTGAATCTCCAGTCTGAAAAGAGGCAGGGTTTTAAACAGGGACCCTTCAGTTTTCTTTGTGGGGACTTGACCCCCCTAAACAGAGCGGCCCTCATTCATCTCCCACAGCTCAGAAGTGACTTACGAACTAAAACTTTGAAACTTTTTCCTGTAATCAAAACTAAAGAAATCAAAACCAGAAATAACTGAACTCTGGAAATATAATTGCTTAACCATTTCTTTGTATTTTTATTGAACTTTTTGAATTTTTTTTAAATTTCTGCCCAGTCACAATTCAATGGGGAACCACAATGACAATTTACAAACTGTGGCATGAAAAAGAACACATGCCCCACCAGGAGTTATACCAAACCCTTTCCTTTTTATTCATTCAAAAGAGTCCAATGCGCAAACGTCAAATATGAGCACTGTCATTTTTTTTCTTGGAAGGGGGCAAAACATTTATTCTGGCAGCACTTTTACAATTCCAGGAAGTGGTTGTGATACCACAGGTTGCAAGAATAGAAACCCTAACAAACTTGAAGGGCATTTGTTTGCCAGGCAAGGGACTACGTGGTCTGAAAAGCCGCCCTCTTGTGCTTCATGAATTGCCCGTCCGCTGCGGCGCACCGAGCCTTCCCAGGTACGGAAAGAGCAAACGGAATTTCCTGCGCAGACACTGAAAATTCCAGTAGAGCAGAGTGTTTTCTGTACCTCCAACCCTCCCCCCACCCTGAAGCAAGTTCTCAAGAGCTTTTCTGGAACTTCTTTTGGTCACATGACCCTCAATCATGATGACCTTTTTGCTGAAACACATGGGATGCCAAGATTTCTTCTTTCACTGCTTCTCTAGGGTTCAGATGACAGCACAAAACATCACTTGTCAAAAAATAGCAGATATTATAAGAATGTGGGCATTTATGTTTATAATGATAACAAACACTTTGCAGGGTATGTCACCCAAAGGAGCTTTTTTTTTTTCCACTTAATATGGTCCCCTGGGGAGTTAGCCCGAAGTCACATCCTTAAGAGTCCTTGCAAAAGACTGGTCAAAGTGAGTTAATTTGACAGTTCAGGAACCGTCTCGTGCCAATTACAAAACTCCTATGCCCAACAATTCAATGGTCCATAAAGCAATTAAATGTTATCATTCAGTTTACACGCACACATGCACACGCACACACGAGAACTGTGACCAAAGGATTAAGCAGGTCATCTCGTGACTGTGTTCTAAAAGAAAATGAAATCTCAAAATGGAGGTGTTGTATTCAAGTATTGAAAAATGCAGAAATAGTCTGATCCCCTTTGATGTTACGATCATGACGAATCACACTTGTTTCATGGAGGTTATGGAGTTAGTGAAGTCCACTCCTGGGGCACCAAATCTACAAAAAATCGACTTAAGATTTTTCACAATGGAGCCGCTTGCTTATTTCTTCTAAAAAATATGTTGAGCCTCTGTATACTGGCATTGCAAGAGTAATACTTTATAAAAGAAGTAAAAGGATAATACCAGCTGACTCACTTTTCGTGCCTTACACTGGTGAGAAAGTTTGTCTTACACCTTTTTCCATCAACAGGCAGAGGAGGCAGCTGTAAACAGAGTCCTTTACATTCTTCAAAGAATGTGTTACTATTGCAGCAGATACTGTTTGGCCCCAATTAGGAGTAGACGAGAGAGCAATTTGCTTTGCTTTTCAAGTTTTACTTGGTGGAGATTTTACAACAATGGTTTTACTAGTTCTTGGCAGCAGACTGTCCAATCAGAGGCTCTGTATTTATAAATAACCAATGTGGGACTCTGCTCCCCAGTTAGGGAACTCGCTATCTCAAGGTCTGACAGCCAGATGAGAAGGGCTTTCAAAGTGTTCTGCTAAATTTCACAGACTCTAGAGAGACAGAGAGAAGGACTCATTAGCAAAGCTCTTTGCACCATTCACAACTGACTCCTGATTATCTTAAGCTATTGAAAGACTCAGATTTTCCATGGACTCGTGAACCCCAATGTCCCCCTCCCCTGTAGAATCTTACCACCAGGCCTCCATGACCCCTTCCTCCTCCTTCCCTGAAGAATCCATGAGCACATCATCAGGAAGCTGGGAGCAAGGAACAATCTGCCCAGCACCACTGGAAATGTGGGCAAAGAAAAATGGGAATCCCACCAGCCTGCCCAAGGAACAGGCTCACAGGCAGGGACCTTTATTTAAAAGAAGGGGAGGAGACACTGCCTGAAATACACATTTAAGGTGCCTGCTGATTATCGGCAACCTCTGTGACCCAGCACTTAATCCACGGGCAGAGCGATGGGTTGTTTTTTCTTTTTAATTTCAGAAGGACTACAGAAAAAAGAATGAACAAAAAGGTCTTTTGCTAAAATAAGAAACCAGCCCCATCTTGGCACAGTCCTCAGGCAGAACATTGCACCCAGTGTTAACTAACGCTAGAAGCTTCAGACGGTATAAATTTAAATGTATTTGCATATTATAAAAATAAAGATAAACATATACATATTTTACACTAGTTACGGAACAGCAATGAACGGTCAGTCGATCCCTCTTTCACATTTAACAGAACTGAAATCTGAGTGCTCAAAACACGGCCACCTGTACGGAACTATGGCTTATATGTGCACAGAAAACAAAATCCCTGAGAAGCCATTCGACTTTTTCTTCTTTTCTTCAAGTAGCGCTCTCCTCGGAGGATCACAGTTCTGAGGTTCAGGTTGTAAAACATTTGCTCCACGGTCTCCCCCATCCTCCCCCGCCCCTCCCCGTCCACATCTACAGGCCAGGTGCGCTCCCTCCTCTGCAAGCACCCTGGACGGTTATTAGTCAAGTTCACGGAACGCGCGTGGGCGTGTGGAGGGTTTGCCGGGTCCGCAAGATGGTCCAGGTGAGTTCTGATGCTCTCTTTTCTCCACGGAAATTCCATAGCCATAGAAGTCATTGGTTTCTGTGCTTTTCACCAACGTTCTTCCTATATGGGTAGAGGAGAAGAAAGTGCAGACATGACAAAGGGTGACAGAGAAGGATATTCTCAGTTCTAAGAACAGGAAGCAATACTGTGAATCGGGGTTTTTTTGGCACTGATTTTAATTTTTACTTCTAGAATTCCTTATACTAGTGTGACTGTCAGGCAGCTAATGATCCTACAAAGGAAAGCGTCTTTTCACTAGAAAGCTGGTCGAACACTTCTGGTTGTGACATTAAGGTCAGACATAATGAGGAGCTATATGAATTAGTAATAACCACCTAAGCCATTGTAATTTCACAGCTGAATGAGGTTTATAATCAAGAACCCCAAACACTAACCGAGTCCTTTCAGGAAACACACACACACACACACACACACACACACACACACACACAAGCTAAATAGCCTGCTAGGAGTAGGAATATATACTGAAAAGTGAGATCTTTTAGTTTAGGATGTTTAACCGGTCTTAAAAGGCATGATTTCACTTACAGTGTTACAGGCAAGGCTGTCAAACTAAAAGCCAGAGTTGGATGAATATAAAATAAAGAAACTCCTGCATTGCCACCTAATTAAACAGAGTGGCATTCAATTCGGACAAAATGATTAGAAAGAGGTCAAAGGTCCCCATCCCTTACAGCAGCTTTCTTATAATGACTTCTATCTCCTCCACCCCCCCCCCATCTCTCGATGGTGCTTGATTTTATAGAAACTGAGTAAAATATTAGTACCATTACCAAAAATACGCACCTCCTGTTTATTACCTACTTGCTACACACCAGGAGTCACACCACTCACCGTAGTGCATTGTTTGATTAATCCTCAACTCGTAACACTCCTACGGAGTAAGCTCCATCCTACTCTATGTTCACCAAGAAGGAAATTAAGGTTCCAAGAGGTTAAATAACTTCCTGGAGGGGGCACACCAGCATGCGGGAGAGCCAGCCTTTAACGAGGGTTATTTGACCCCCGAGTATGTTTGGCAGCTAAAAGCCAAGTTGGGATGTTTGGGGCTCTGGGGACAGCTTCCTGTTTCTATGACACTCAGCCATGAGGACTTTTTGAAGGCCTATTAATGTATAGCAAACTTCCCAGCAGAGAAAGTGTTGAAAACTGCCTCCAATTTGAGCATAATATAATAAACTCCCATCTCCACCACACAGTTAATGTCAGTGGTTGGAATTCTGGGTTTGTGAGGGGGATGTGCCGTGCAAATGTTTTCCTCACTGAATCCAACAAGCTTTAGGAAACGCAGACAGTTGTGTCTGGCTGTCTGTCCCTGAGCCATACGGAAGACAGAAACACAAGAATGTCTAAGCAAGGGGACCCAAAGAGCCCAACCCACTGTTCAAGAGAGAAAAAGGAAACCAGTTTGAGTATATTTCCATGTTGATGCCACTTTTTCAAGTTTGGGCTCTTGAGGAAAGGACAGAGCCATCAAATCACCAACCTTCCCCATGCCACATCATTTCTCCATCCCAAAAGATCCACCCCCAATGCTACTTCCTAGAACTTTCCCCTATTCTTCCTGGTAGAGTTCTTTCTTTTCAGTGCCCACAGGACTTTGTTGATATACCACTGCGGCAGGCATCACATTTTAATTGTAATTAGACACTCACAAGTTTGTTTGGTTAGGTCTCTGATTCCCATTGTCCCCAAAGAGACTATTAGACTCTTGAGGGCAGGGTCTATCTTAGCGATTTCTACATCCTCAGCACCTGGCACAATGCCTAGTAGAGGGCAAATATCCTATAAAGACCTCTTGAATAAATCATGAACAGGATGTGATGAGAAAGTCACAGGTGGAAAACAGCCAAGACACCAGGACACCATTACTATCATGGCGGTGCATAAGCGTGAAGCGGAGGGACTGACTACAGTTAGAAGGGTTGATGGTGGCTTCTCAGAGGGGCTGACATCTGACCTCGGCCTCAGGGACGATGGGCTTCACCAGGTAGGAGAGGAGTGGCAGCTAGCCATGGGCTGAGAGCCAGCCAGGCGTGCATATGGTTGACGCCCTCCCATAGTAAGGGGGTGTCCCCCATGTCAGCAGGGTGCCTGGGGTCTGATTGGGAGTCTGTCTAGGAGGTTTGAACTTGAGCCTATAATCACTAGGAAGCCGCTTGAGGCTTTTAAACAGAGAAGTGGCAAGGGTCCGAGTTGAAAGATAATATTGGTGTGTAGGGGAAGAAAACCCATTAGAGATGGAGGCCAGTTGAGACTCAATCACAGGCATCTTGGCAGGGACAGGTTCATCTAGAGGAAAGCATGGCCGAAAGAGGCAGTTGTCTGGCCAAATCGACTCGTGTCAAGACACACCGATAAGATGGGAGAACAGCCTTCAGTGGAAGGCTGCTTGCCTGCAGCCGCAGCCCCGGGGCTCAGCAGACAGGGGCCAAGCAACGGCCCCCTCCAGGCAGGAAGCACAGACTGGTGACGAGCGCTGAGGGGGAGGACAGTAACTCACACCTATGACAGCCAAGGGAGCTGCCATTGGGGCGCTGGGAAGAGGAGTCCGGAGCCGAGGGAGAGGGCAGCGTGGGGGCGCAGACCCCGAACCCTCTCCAGGGCACTGAACCTGCTCTTCCTGGAGCACAGCACACTTAGTCCAGGTATTTAGAAGCTCAGGCTGACACTGACGCTCTCCCATGTTGTATTAATCAATTAATATAGGTCTTATCTTTTCTGTATGGAGATACTTTGACATCCGGGCCCTCGCTGCCCCTGGAAGGAAGCCCGGCCGCCGCCCCCCCAGCGTTAGCCAGCGACTAGAGACCCTAAACAACCCCGACGTGAGCGCGCTTCTCAGTACCCACCTGCTATCAGGAGCCCGCACCCTGCGGCCACCGCCTTTATCAGGCTCCCACACGCAGGCCACGCTCTATCTGCTCTCCCCACTCCAGGGCCACATGCCAGGCAACCGGGGACCGTTCCTGAGTCCCACGCCCGCCAGCGCTGCTCAGGCCTGCCGAGCCCAGCCGGTACCTTCCCTCGGCGCGTGCACGCGCACACACACGCGCACACACACACACGCACACATACACACACGCTCTTGTCCACACTTCCCTCTTTGCCTGGTGGCCACCCCCCGTACGTCCCCACGTAGCCCCCCACGGCACAGCATGCATTCTCTCTAGGGCCCTGTGAGTCAAAAGCTGTCTTTTCAGTGGCAGTCACTTCCCGATCCGTTGGCCTTACTCTATGTGCAAGGCTCTGTTATGACACTATATTCTAAGACAAATGCATAAATAAGAACTTGGTGAAAACAGCACTGAACTGGGAGCCACGACGTGGGTTTTAGGCTGACACGAGTCATCCGGTGACTGCGACTGTCAGAACACAGACTGGTCTGGAGCCCAGAGCTCCCTGCCCTATGTGATTTACAGGGCTGTGAGGGGCCAGTTCATCTCGCACTGCAGGCGTTTGTGATTATGGTATGAAAGAAATGATACCGCTCATCTCCACTTTCTCCCCAGAAGATGGGGCCAGGACACTCCACGTGGCCTTGTAAACAGATCTTGGGGGGGGGGGGTTAAGGGGTAAGGCAAGTCCCTCTCCCGCCACCACCACCCCCACCTATTGAGCACATACTACCCCTCCTAGGCAGGCACCTCAGTTAATAAACTAAAAGTAGAGGCACCTGGGTGGCTCAGTTGGTTGAGCCTCGGACTTTGGCTCAGGTCATAATCTCACCATTCACGAGTTTGAGCCCCACATGGGGGCTCTGTGCTGACAGCTCAGAGCCTGGAGCCTGCTTCAAATTCTGTGTCTTCCTCTCTGCCCCTCCCCTGCTTGCACGATCTTTCTCTTAAAAATTAACATTAAAAAACATCTTTTTAAATAAAATAAATGTTGCTAGGCAAGTCGGTGAGCACAGTACCTATATTTGCATTTTGAAATGTTGTTTTTTATGATTATCTTGCTATGCCACCCCTAGTGTACACCACTCATATTCCCAGGAGAAAAAAAGATCAACTGAGTTTATTGAGTGTTGTTCACTCTGTGGAAGGCAGATGCTATGTGCCTCCCCAGCCATGGCCTCTCCAAATGCTCAGACAACCCAACAGGGCAGCCACTTTTGGAATGTGCTTCTGACCAAGCTCTACAGTCTCGGCACCAACGAACGGCAAAGATTCACCCTCAGGCTCTATAACTCGAGAGCCCAAACTGCCTTGAGAAAATACAGGTAAACAGTACGTTTAAAAAGCTAGTTGCTGCATTGATCCGCTCAAGCCTTTCGTGATGTTACTTTTGTGCATATTAAATTTTTTAAAAATGACTTCTTTTGGGGTACCTGGGTGACTCAGGCAGTTGAGCATCCATCCAACTCTTGATTTCCATTCAGGTCATGATCCCAGGGTCATGGGATCAAGCCCCGCATCAGGCTCTGCGTGAGCATGCAGCCTGCTTAGGATTCTCTCTCTCTTTCTCTCTCTCCCTCCCTCTCTCTCCTTCTCCCTCTGCCCCACCCCGCTCATGCATGCACACTCTTTCTCTCTAAAAATAAAAATAATCTTAAAAAAATAAAATGACTTCTTTCTTCCAGCGAGGAACTGAAATTACTAATACATGCAACTTCATAGTAAGTTAGGCCAAAGAATCAAGCAGTTTCCTGATTCTTAATTCCCAATGTGGTCTTGATTCTGAATAAGCAAAAGAGTTGTAACCTTAAAATGCTCTATATATGAAGAGATCTCTTCATCCCAAACTGCACCCCACCCTCATTTCCCCCTAAACCGTCAAGTCCTTAGGAAGTCCCTATCTATTCAAGAAACCCTCTCTGCTTCCCAGAGACTTACCCTTAAAACTTGGTGCTCCTAAAGTCACAGATTGGGTACAGTAAAAATGATGACATAAGGGAAAGAAGCACTATCTTTTCCACTTAATTTTCCAAGAAAGTATGGAGATACCTAAGCAGAGAGGGAACAAATTCTAGTATCAGTGCGGCTGATGGGGCACTAAACAATCAAGAGACACTATTCCTCATTGCCTGCGAAAGGAGCGAGGCAATGAGCGGTCTCACTCCTTACAAAAAACAAAGCAAATCAATGCGAATTGAGGTGATATACCCCACAGGCCACCTCCACATTCAGCTTCCTTTTCTTCTGAAATACCATACTGTCCCCGCCCTCCGTGTTTCACAATTCTGTGGTCAGTGACAAATCCTCCATCCTTATAAAGCCAAATTTGTGCTGCTCCATTGCTTTTGTAAAAAGAAAAGAAATTATCAAGTCCATCCTAACGCACCCGAGGGCAATTAAACATACTTTGCCTGATTATCTGTTGAGATAAAGGCCATAGTCTTCATGCTACTTTTTATAAAATGCTATTTCAATTGGTCTTAAATATCCCTATGTCATAAAATATGACTGTTGAATTCCCATGTGAAGTAATCGCTTCAGTACCTTTGGGACTGCTTATACACAGTAAGAAAGTGGAATTCACTGGGGTCTTGCTTCAGTGGGAAAGCTACAGTATATGCGCAATAACCCAAGTGTAGAAGGTAGTTCTGAGACCTGGTGTCTCGGCCCTGCCTTTTATCATTAGTTGGACTTATGGAAAAGGAGAAAGTTTAACTCAACAATTTTTAAACTGGCCCATATTTTCCGTAACACATGACCTGCCCAAATCAGAATCTGCTTCCCTTTTCATTTCTACCATTCCACATGGAGTGCAGACAGACATGGGAACACCACAAGAGAAATGGCAACTGTCAAGAAATAGAAATGATATATTCCCGTGTCCTATACGTTCCAGGGTCTGTCCATTAAGCAGCCACATGGAAGAATGTGGACTGCATTTCAGTATGCCTTCAGGTAACACATTTTTAGATGCTAACCTATGGGATCCTGTCTTTTAAATGAAAATTAGTAGAGGGGCGCCTGTGTGACTCAGTCCGTGAAGCGTCCGACTTTGGCTCAGGTCATGATCTCGTGGTTTGTGAGTTCGAGCCCCGCGTCGGGCTCTGTGCTGACATCAAAAAACCTTTTTTAATGAAAATCAGTAGATAAATTGGGTTATCTGGCAGTTTGTCTCAGTATACACTGGAGGTGAGGTTCCTCTAAACCTCTTTGGAAATGAGAAAGAGGAGCATTCTACAGGGTACCTAAAAATAAAAAGTGAACAGTGAGCTGCCACTCGCCTAAAGAAGTTCACACTTTCCTTCTGAACTGGAATTTTAAGTGTTTCAATGTGCAGAGCAGCAGGATAAAGAGGAATTCACAAATAAAAGGTTTAAAAATAAATTAAAAAAAAATCTACTTTCTACTGACTTTTCCCATTGAAAGTAGGACTTTGCCTCTAATGACTCATCATGTCCAAGACTCAGTATCCCTTTAATGCCTAAGGGTCAGTTCGGCTGACCATTCAGAATTTCTGAAGGACAGGCACAAGAGGTGATGGATGGGTAATTAACAAGGTGGTGAGAACCCTTTCACAATGTGTCATATATCAAATCACCACAGTGAACATCTGAACTATCGTACAATTTTATTTGTCATTTATACTTCACTAAAGCTGAAAGGAAAAGATCAATGGATGCCAGGGGTTAAGGAGGAGGGGTGGATGGAGGAGTAAATGAATAGATGGAGTACAGAGGGCAATGGAAATACCGGCTTTGATGCTATAATGGCGGACATACAAACCCACGGAACGTACAGCACCAAGGGTGAACCCTGAAGTAAACCATGGACTTTGGGTGACAATGATGTGTCAATGCAGGCTCATCCACTACCACAACATGCCACTCTGGTAGAGGACGTCCCTGGTAGCAGGAAGCTGTGGTGGTGGTGGGAGGGGCAGGAAGTACGTGGGATCTCTCTGTACCTTCTGCTCAATTTTGTTGAGAACCTAAACTTCTCTACAAAATAAGTGTTTTAAAAATTGCCTCCTATACTTAAAAAGAAAGAGGGAGAGAGAGAAATAAAGGTCTGAAGGAGGCAGGTCTCCCTGTAAGCTTCCCTACTCCTCTACTGTGCAATAAGCGGGGGCTGGCGTTGGCGTTGGGGGGTGCTAGTCAATTCACTGCCTTTCGACTGAAGAAGGCCAAGGATAACACTTTATAAGAATTTCATTGAAACTCACAAATCTGCTTAATACCAACACACCAGGCAGCAAAGCCATTCTGAAAGTGACATGAAAACATTCCTTGACTGCACAGAAATATATGTGTTGTATTAGACACAAGTGGGCACACATTCCTTTAGAAGTGATGAACATGCTCTGGAATCCAATAGTGGTGATGGCTGTGAACCACATAATAATAAATATGTCAATGATCACTGAATTATTTGAAAAGTGGATCAGAATCCAGATCCTTAAGGAGGTCAGAATTCTTCAGAGCAACCTAGCAAATGTGTCACGAGTTTTCACCTCGTCTCAAAAGCAAATATCCTTGAAAATCAGCCCAGGATAGCAAGAGTATGGAGAGGACTCACATTTCTATCTGATAATCAGCAAAGTCAAGAAGCCTCTCAGCTCCTCAGTTTCCCACTAGGGGGTGAGGTGCAGGAGAAGCATTTCATACACATGACCTTTTCCCAAGGGAAAGCTGGTAGGGACCCCCCACCACCAATCACCAAAACAAAGGATGAAAGTAAATCGTCTTTAAAAAAAAAAAAATCACTACTTACTCTTTATTCTCTGTCTCTCCCCATAGAGAAATAAAACACAGAAACATTTTTAAATGAGAAATAGGAAAACGTGGAATTTATAAGGAAGATCCAGTTAAATAACAGTCATCGATGGGTTTTCTTTATAAAGCACATGGCAGCACCATTATTTTACACATGGTCAAAGGCAGGCAGTTAAATGACAAGACTCTGATTTGACCTGCAAAGGAGAGGAGTAAGCTGGTTAAAGAGCTTGGACGGTCTTTTCAAAAAACCATCATGAGGTCAAGATCAATGACGTAGGAGTAGGGCGATAATTCTGGTTTGCCTCGAAGAGTTTTCTGGCTGCTGCCTGTTGTCCTGGCATAATTATTAAGAGCCCTCCTGTCACCCTCAATCCTTTCCTGATTCAAACGATAAATTACGGATCAGCTCTGCCTTAGTGCTGACAATTGGTTAGTGACCAGAGGGAGGCACTATAGCCAAAGATAAAGCCCACTGGCCAGGGAGCTCACCCTTAGGTTCTCGGAAGGGGCCCCAGAGATCAGAAAGTCCAGCATACACAAATTAGAATCATCGGGGGTTGGGGGGAGGATTATTGCTTTTTTCAAAGCCTAGTGCCTGGCCCTTTCCCCTGGAAATTCACATATATATGCCCGATTAAGAAAGATGGGTCTCAATCACCCACCTGCATTTTAACAGGATGACAGAGAAGTAAAAGATCACTCTACTATGCCTTGCTGGAGTTAACTGGCCTAGAGTTGCAAACTCAAGGCAACAGTCCAGACTCCCAATTTCTACTGCCTGTTGACACCCCTAAGTTTAGTAGTCAGGCTCCGACCCAAGCTGTGACAACATAATAGCCACCACCTGTGGCTCATCAGTCCCCCAAATCTCCTTTCAATACACAGTCATTGACTTATAAATCAGACCTCCACTGGGCAGGGCTGGAACCTTCGTGTGTGTGAGTTTTCATGGATACTCCTTCATTTAGAATGGAGACTGATACTCCAAACCTGCTGTCCATTGTATGAGGCTTTTAAAAAAAAATCCATTTCAAAATAAAACTATTCACATAGCTGGGTCAAAAGTAGTTCAGTCCCTAAAGATATTCTCTCCAGCATCTAGATGTCTGAGGCTACGTGGCTCTGATTACCCAAGACCTTAAAGCTGCTTATTCAATTTAAGTATAATCAAGTGTGAGAGACAGAGGAGGTGATAGCAGTTTTTCCGGGCTGGGATAAATGTCCTTCTGAGGCAGCACAATGAGAAACCCATGGGAAAACACTGATAAAGCTGGCTCGCTGCCACTGTGGTTTCTCGTGCAAACTGATATTTTAACTTCTACCTCTATCTCGTCTATTAAATGCCACGCGACTATGGCAAAACAAGAGGTTAACGTCTGTGTTGGCTCAGGAAAATCTACGCCCGTGCACTGCTTCCCTCCATGTCATAAATCCCCTCATCCTTTCCCCGTGTATCTGAAAGAGAGGGGCCAATGTACACCGAAGAACAATAACGTTTCTGTTGTTTGATATATTCATACAACAGACAGGGACAGGGGATATTCTGGTTAATATGAAGTTACTATGTAATGGTGAGAAGTACTTCACAATTTCATAATGTCCTACAACCCTATGAGTGAGGAATTAGACCATGTGCATGTTAGCTAAAATAGCATTCTGAATATACGACATTAGATCAGAGATTGCCGTGAGTGTCTGGTGATACTTTCCAGCAAAGATGAATTAAGAATGTTCTAATGAGTCACTTGGTTTGGAGAAAGCGCTCTTCTACTGCAGCCGCTAAGGAATGAGCACCCACTGAATACCTCGCTCCGCAGACAACACACCGAAGTCAGGAAAATGGACACTTCAGGGCAGAGGGCTGAGCTGCTACCACCCAGGGCTCTGTGGAACGCAGCCTCATAGCGAGGTTCTCAAGGTGAGGTAGACAGGTCACCATTTTCAAATGCAAACTTCAGAACCTCCCTGTAAAAAGCTTCTATGTGAAAAAAAAAAATTCTATGTGGTCACCTTGGCAGAAAAATGAAAACTTCCTGCGTGAAGGCTTTGCCCTCCAAGCCATTGCTGCTATCACCCGGAGCCCCTGCAAGAAGACCGTGCCTTCAACTTTGCAAGATTGGCAGTGAAAAGGCATTTTATCTCAGTTTAAAAGTGGCCTGTTTGGTTCTACAAAAAGAACAAAACAAAAACCCAAAACAGGATGGGTTTGATCTAGAATACCAGTTAGCATCTTATCTAAAAGTTCACCAGTGTAACATTCTCTGTGTTTCAGTCCATTTGGGGGATGGTAGGCGTAATCTGCATCCCCACTGATCATCAAAGGCTAAGAATCAGAGACCTACAGAAAAAAAAAAGAATCTACTACAGATCTGCTGTAGGCTTTTCTTATTTAGTGGGCCCTCGCTCTCCATAAAAAAATGTTCTATTTGGATGTATTTACCTGCAAATATACCAAAAACCAATTAATTACATACTTTGAGTGAACTGTATTGCATGTGAAGGACAGTTCAATAAAGCTGTTAAAGATGCTTGTTTTTAAAATGCTCTGACTTTTAATAATTAAAAAAAAAGAAATCATAAACAAGAAAAAATAAAAATTCCTAGTTTGCTACATACGCCACAGTGCCTCAGTCACCCAGGTATATAGGTCTGCCTTGGGAGAGCGTCCAAAGCTTGCTGGAAGGCACTTTGATTCAGCTTTTTATCACACCTACCGAGGCAGGATCGGGAGTGAGGGACAGGGGCTTCCGTGTTTGGAACTCACTTGGAACAGGGGCTGATCACAGTCGGTGTAGGTGGGTAAACCAAGGCAACATTCACTCGCTCGCTGCCGTTCTTAGGGCAAATGATCTCTGCCACTCCTTCTGGTCTGGGCTGGCTCAGCAACTCCCCTGTTGGAGGAGAGAGAAAATGCATTAATGACATGTGCCTTCATAATGGGACGATTCCATGGGGTAATGCAGCACTGGGGGACACAGGGCCGGGGCGAGGGGGGAGGAGGGCAGGTAGTGAGGAGGCAACGGGTCTACAGACAACCGACTCAAAGAACAGCCAGGCGCCCGGAGTCACCAACTGGCCCTGCTCGCTGCCCGCTGCCTGAATTCTCATCTGCATCACCATGGAGAACGTTCTAATGGCTGTGGCGAAGAGGCCATCCTTCCAGACAAAGACAGCATCTGCTGCTATTTTCCTCACCTTCCTTTTCACAGACTGACTCCCGAGGTCTTTATCTAGATGTCGAGGCAAATTGAGCACGGATCCCTAGGGCCCAGGGAAGCAAGGGCTGCCAAGGAGGTGTTCATAATTAGCATTCGGGGCAGATGGGATTCGGACAGACCATAGCAGCCTCTCAACAAAGCCCTGCAGAAATGATCTGGAAACGCAGCTGACTAAAGGTGTTATCAAGGTAAACAGCCCGGCTTCACCCTGGCAAGATTTCCTGGGTAGGTCTGTATGGGGATTTGAAAGCGCCAGCATAAGACTATTTTATGACTAATGGGGTCTAGTAAAAACAGACAATTAACTTAATGGATTACCACAAAACCCAAAGGAAATCTGTCTGCGTACTCTGCATGCCCTGGACATAATCTCTCTCCAACTAGATCATCAAATCCCTAAGAGCAGAGAAGACTTCCATTCCTTAGTTTCCCCTCTATCTTGTCCATTTACCGGTGGCACCCTGCCCTCTATTCTCACAGCTGGCATGGTGCTGTCACTCAGAGAAAACTCGGGAACTAGCTTCTAGCTGAGGACAGTACTTCTTATTGCCTAAATCCCCCTACTTTAACCTAGAAAGTAAATAGACCAAGCCAAGGACACAAAATGTTTGTCGACTGGGGAAAGACACTACTGAAAATAAACATCAACCCTCTGGCAGCCATCTCTTGGATAACTGATTTGAAAATTCTAATGATGCCAGGGGTGCCTGGCTCAGTCGGTGAAGCCTCCCACTTCGGCTCAGGTCATGACCTCATGGTTTGTGAGCTCGAGCCCCCCATCAGGCTCTGTGCTGACAGCTCAGAGCCTGGATCCTGCTTTGGATTCTGTGTCTCCCTCACTCTCTGCCCCTCCAGGCTCTTGCTCTCTCTCTCCATCCCTCAAAAGTAAATAAAACGTTAAAACAAAAACAAAAAAAAAGATTCTCTCCCTCTGTCACTCCCCTGCTTACATGCACTGTCCCTCCACTTCAAGAAATAAAAATAAATTTAAAGTAAGAAAAAATTAAAAGAAAAAGGAAATCCTAATGACCCCAAAGTTAAGCCAACAAGAGGGTTAAAAAATCCTTTGCCTCAAAATACCATATTTGAAACGCCTCCCCTTCAGAGGAACTCCCGCACTGATGAAGCATGCCAGTGTGCCAGCGCCGAACCCAGAGCTGTAAATGTACCTTTCATTACATTTGTGTGAAGTCTCTAGGACAGTCATCATTTTACCAGTGAGGTCAGGGAGGTTATGTGGTGGACCCCGAGTCAAGGGCAGGCGAGTGGCAGGCTTGGGATGTGACCTCGGGAAGCCATCTCTGGGCTGCTGACTCTTTGCCACCACCATCCAACACCTCCCAAAGCAGGAACCGCTGCTTTAGGCCAGAACACGTTTCACCTAAAGGAGTGATCTAAACCCACTATTTTTACAGAATGTACTAAGCGTTGGCATATTTGTAGTTTTGTGATAAGACAGACATTCGTTTCCCACTTTGAGCATTTTTGCACAGCTCTGGACCCTATGGACTGAATGTAATTTGAAGTTCCTTAACCCAACACCTATAAACACCCAATAACTGCAAAAGGGAATTTGGCACGATTAGCCTGTATCACGGATGCACGGGTATCAGAGCTATACTCTGACACCAACTAATGAAAGATTTCAAAACATAAAAGTGCAAGTTAAAAGTGTAAACACTAAACACTACTGAAGCCATAAAATGAGCCACAGTAATAGCACATTCGAGCTGGACGGAAAGTTGGAAGTCATCTGGTCCAAACGCCACCTTCCAAGTCAGAAACCCTCAGAATTTGGCGGATCGGCTCCAAGTCCCACAGAGAGCTGTATGTCCCCGGGAAGGCGGGACAAGGCTGGCAACATGAGCGTGCTCCGGGCCTGTTCACACCCCGGGTCCTGAGCCCACTCTTGCCTGTTTCTTACCTGAGATTTCTGCTCTGTACTTTCTGTCCCAAGATTACCCCCAAGGCCTGGCCATGCTTGGCCCCTCTGTTCCCCCTGAGAACGCTCTCCCGGTTAGAGATGCACACGGGCATCCTGCAGCTGCCTGGTCCCAGGATGGACAGCAAAGCCTGGCCTGGCACGGCCGGCCTCCTGGCTGGCTCTGGACAGGATTTGGGGAGCTGACCCATTTGCTGGGGTTGCAGTGATTTGCAGTAGACCATTAAGCATCCATTATGCTGACAGCTTCCTGTACCCGCCCCCACCCCAGATTCCCGGTATCCTGCAGAAACAGGTAACTGGTTTCGTAGCAGCCCTACCCCAGCAGCGCTGTCAGCCACAGGGGCGGCATGAAACTGCAGGTGCCGAGAAGCCTCCCACGTGTGAAAAATCCACTCGATGCCACAGTAAATCGAGCAGCCACACTGCACGGTTCAACATCCCTGCCCTTCAACAAGCTCCTGTGAGGGGCCGTGATTCTTAGGATGGAAGAAATGTGCCCTGGCTCATTCAAAAAATGAGGAAAACAGCTTTTTCCTCACGAAAAACGTTATCACAAATACAAAATGTGGTTCATAATATGTGTTATCTACTAAAACAGAAGTTGGGCGCCTCAAGTTTCTTTAACACAAACTTGATTTTCAAACTAAAGTACAGCCGGGGCTCCTGAGTGGCTCAGTCGGTGAAGCATCTGACTTGGGCTCAGGTCATGATCTGGAGGTTTGTGAGTTTGAGCCCCGCGTCGAGCTCTGGCTGACAGCTCAGATTCTGTGTCTCTCCCTCTCTCACTCTCTGCCTGTCTCCTGCTTATACACTGTCTCTATTTCAAAAATAAACAAAGGGGCACCTGGGTGGCTCAGTTGGTTAAGCATCCGACTTCAGCTCAGGTCATGATCTTGCAGTTCGTGGGTTCGAGCCCCGAGTCGGGCTCTGTGCTGACAGCCAGTTCAGAGCCTGGAGCCTGTTTCAGATTCTGTGTCTCCCTCTCTCTCTGACCCTATCCTGCTCACACTGTCTCTCTCTCTCTCTCTCTCTCTCAGAAATAAATAAAACATTAAAAAATTTTTAATAAATAAATAAACATTAAAAAGAACCCACTGGAATATAGCCATTCACTGGGTATCTAAATATAGAGATCTTACTGTGTGTGAGGAGACGCAGGGGATATAGGAGTCTAAGGTGAGGCTTCTCATACGGAGGGTCCTAGCATCTGAGAAAGTCACATGTGCATAAAAAGAACAGTAGTCCCATATGTTAGGGGCCCCAGAGGAAAGTTATGAAATGTCAGGACAATGAGAAGGACAGACATACTGATGTGCAGGACTACAAAAGACCTCCAAGAGTGGAGAACACGGTCCCAGAAGACCCAGTAACATTGATTATCCCGCACTCGACATTACCTTTATGATGTTACATACGCCAAGGTGAATGACACACAGCTAATGCCAGAAGAAACAATGGTGACAGCAATAGTAGCTGACATTTATTGTGCATTTATTATGCGCTTATGCTATAAATGTATTGTGTCACTTAGCCCTCAGGACAACACTGTGAAGTATATACAATCCTATCCTCATTATATACAGAGGAGGCGAGGGAGACTCAAGGCAGTTAGGAATTCACCACCAACGAAGAAGAAATTCCCATCCAGGATTGTCTGACTTCACTCTTTACCACCACACAATACTGTCCTGAGGCAAGGACATCATAATGATTAAATTAGATAACATAAAAGGTGCTAAATGTTGGGTCTAGCATCTAGTAAGTTCTTGACACTGTTACTATAGTGATAAGATTTTTTTGAAAGCCTTACTTTTCCAACTATACAAAGAATTCATGCAAAATATGATCAGTATCCACATTCTCTAGAGTAAAGCCATATATAAGGATTGGACCAGAAATTATTTACCTGCAAAATACCACGTCACCAGAAATTTGAAAAGTTCAAATGAAAACAGGTTAGATTTATTACACATCTGTCATCGCTAGCTAAAGCAAGTAAGTAAGATAAATCCCAAAGTGGGTATAGGTTGAAAAAAAAAGGCTACACGTACAGAGAATGTGCTAGTAGTGAAGTAAGGACAAATCCACATGTGACCTGGTATATTCCATTTTCAGGAACTTGCTTCAAGGAAGTAGGCCTTTCTCTCTGGCAAAAATTATACAATGATTGCTCATAGCAACACTATTTATAAAACAGTGAAAACCTGGTAACCCTCTCAAATCGCCAACCATGGGGAAATGATGAAAAACTATGACACACTAATAAGATGGGATTCTCTGTGGTCATTAAAAATTATGAGGCTGGCATTTCTGTATGGCAACGTACACTTAAAAGTACATTCCAATTAGAAACATCAACGGACAAAGAGCATAGATGTATGTAGACTGAAACAGGTCATTCAAGATGTAAATGGTCCTGGAGTTATTTATTTATTTTATGATTGAGTCAATAATAAAACAAGATGAAAGTGTGCCTCACACAGGAGGGAAATGCCAGCTTTGAATGCTAATGCTGTCTCTTCTGTGGGAGATGGTCTATTCGTGTGCAGCATACAATGCAACCAGTCTTCCTGAAAAAGCAGAAATTTGGCCTGATGAACAGAACACTGCATTCACTGAGGCTGTATTAGGCCACTACACAGTCTCCTTGTGCCCATTAAAGTTATGAAAAACTGTTCTTAATTACTCCGGCTCAAGATTTCTGGCATTAAAAAGCTACCACATCGAC